TTTTTTTTTTTTTTTTTTAAATTTGGGAAGCCCAACTTGTTTTGTAAACTATGAGAAAATCACTTATTGTTAAAAATTGATGTGAGATAAAGCTATAAGGGAAAATAGCTAATAAGGTGCTTTAATTTTTTGATTAAGCAGGAATCAGTTTCGAAGAGGCGTTGTGCTTAATGATTATGCGGAAATCATTTTCTGATTATGTGGGAATCAATACTAACAACACTTTTAACAAAAAATTTGGTTTATGGATTAATGCCATCAGTAAGAACGATTTGTGGATTACGAACATTTATAATGGTTGAACCTAATAACATTGCAATTACGACCCAAGAAGTAATAAGTAGCGAAACCTATGAAATCGAGCAATAAGGGGCCTAAAAACAGTTCAATCGATGAGAAAGTAGCTTTTTCGGTGGACTTACGAAAATCTGTTTCATGTAGCTTGGCAAAGAAATTTTGAGGCATGGGTCGTGTAACAGAGGACCTCATTTCAAAAAAAATACGTATTTTTTTTACCACATAAAGAAAATATTTTCTTGCGAATATAGAAAGTATCAACACCTTTTGCATATGTTAAAGGAAATATATGAGGACTAGGATGGCCGAAGATCAAAACCTAAATTTGCTAGGGGTTGATTTTTTTTTTTTTCATTCTCGAGGAAGTGCATGTTTTACCCGAGTCTTCTTCCATAATGGTATGGAACAATAGCATCATTGAGAGAGATACACAAATCACTATTTTTCTACGGCTTCGGTGGGTTCTCTTAATCAAGTCACGGCCTATGAGTCACCAGCTCATTCTTCAACAGGCAAAAGCAGATCCATTCTACATCCGATAATATTTACAGAAATACGAGTTTTTTATATAATTTTCTTTAATATATAAAGAGTTGTTTTTAATCTCATAAATTATAATTGTTGACAAAGTAGTTATTAAATTTAATTCAATATAATTGAAACTATTTTTCATGACAATTAATTATCATGAGAGGTAAATTTTTTAATTTTATGTTAAAAATATAAGCAAAAAATGTCAAGAAAATGACCCATTTGATGGGGCCACCACATAGACCTGGTCTATTGGCCCGCTCATAAGCCCAAAAATAATTGGCCCATAGATAGGAACTGGACTTAGTTTATCAAAGATAGGGATAGCTCGGCCCGGCCCATTCAACTCTTAGCATATTTCAAAAATCATTTACAAAATCTCACAATGAAAAATCTAGATTTCATCAAGTAGAGAATGCATAGTAAAAGTTTTAATCTACAAAATTCTCAATGGGTGAAGTAGATTTCTAAAATAGAAGCAGATTTCAAAAGCTATTTGAAAACCTCATTTGCAAACTCTTCGCGCTTCGGCTATGAATTGCCCTAAGCATGATTATTTTGTACCAAGTAGATGCTAATGAGTCACACGGTTCAAATCGGATTTAATGCAGTTGCTTAACCTTTCTTTTGCCGCCTGACTCTTTTCCATTTTCCGAAGTCAACTTTGAGTTTTTAACTGGGTATTCGTGCCTTTAAGAGCATGTCCACCGCAGCCCAATTTGCCAGGGCAACAGGCCCCCCCAGCTCGAAATGGACCTCCAGCGCAGGAAAATCAGACCGGGCAAGCCCGAGCAAGCCCAAGGGCAGATCTTGCCTGGGCTTCAGCCCGAAGGCGGTGACGTCACGCTGACGTCGACGACAGTGAAATCAATTTATTTGATTTCATCGCGCCGACATCAGCGACTGAAAACTCCCAACGGGAAGACGCCACATGGCGCTTCCCAGATGCTTCGATCGTTTTTTGTCCAGAAATCCAACGGGACTCAATTTTTTTGGATAAAAAAATGCAAAAAAAAAATTAAAAAAATTACCAAAAAATTCTGGATTTTTTCTCTATAAATACCTATCAATTTCATTCACTTTCCACACCAAATCTTCATACAAACTCTTCTCCTTCCAATATTTTTTCCATTCTACTCACATTTTTCTACTAGTTTCCATTTGTATGAAAAAACAAATGGCATCTTCTGTCGAAGCCGGAGGCACTTGGACTACTGTGGAAGATATTGCGTTGTGTGAGTCTTGGGTGAAAGTTAGTCATTGCCCTATATCAGGCAATGAGATGAAGTTTTCTCAAATGTGGAGAAAAATTCATGAAGAATTTTCTGAAAGATCCGGTTCGGCTCGGACGGAAATGGCCTTATGTTCCAGGTGGAAAATTTTGAATAAAGAGTTTGGGAAATGGAGGGATGCCTTGACAAAAGCGAGGGAGAACCTTCGAAGCGGTCAAAATCTTATGGATGAGGTGAAATATTTATAATTCTCGTTTTATTCAATTTAATGTAACTTTTTTTTCTTGCATATTAATTTATTTATATTTTGTTGCATAATCATTTTTTTATTTTGCAATTTTAAATTGTTAATATTTTCTTCCATATTTATTTCTTGCATTTCTAATGTATTTATATTTTGTTGCATAATCAATTTTTTTCTTGCATTTCCAAATTATTTATATTTTCTCCCATATTCATTTTTTGGTTGCATTTCCAATTATTTATTTTTAATAGATCATACAAGCACAAATGTGGTTCGGTGCCACGGGGCAAGGCAAAATTTTTTTCCAGAATCACCAATGATGGGAAATTGTGAAGAATTGTTCGAGATTCAAAATAATTTGCACTGCTCCGCCGGTTGTGTTGAATGAGACGCCGCTCCACGATTCGCTGGCAACCAATTCGCCAGTGGACTCCCTAATGGATCAAGACTCACCACTCCCACGTGCGCCGAGACCTATTGGGAGAAAGGCGGCAAAGGCGAAGAAAGGGAGCACTTCGAAGAATGAATGTGCACAATTTTTGGAGCAAATCGCTAAGAATGGTGCACTGAGACTTGAGAGAGACTTGAAAAGAGAAGAAGCAGACAAGGCACGAGCTGAAGCATTTGCAAATGAAAGGCAGCAGGCACAAGAACAAGACATGGAGGATAGAGAGATGAAAATCATGGCCATGGATACCACCCATATGTCTCCTGAAACAAAGTCCTATTGGAAGATGAAACGAAGGGATGTGATGAGAAGAAAACTTTTCCATAACGACGGACCTAGCAATACGGATTGGTTAAATTATCAAAACCATTAGGTTGGATTGAAAGATTTGTCATATGTATGAAGAATTGTTGTATTGTTTCCCTTTTATTCAATAAAGAAAGAATTAAATAATATGACTATTTATTATAAATATTTGCAAATGAAAACAAAGTTTAATTAAAAACAAACCTTATTTTATTGCAAACAACACACAAAACAAAGCATAATTCCAAACACACCACACACAAAATAAAACATAATTTCAAACACACCACACACAAAATAAAGCAAACTTGAAAAGAAAGCATTAATCTTGACTTCATCCATTGTGATTGCCTTCATCTCCCACAAGTGCTCGATCAAGTCAACTTGACGCCTCTCGTGAACATATGAAGATTGCATTTCTTGGTAACGATCAATCATGGGGTTGTTGAATCGACCATCCCAAAGTAACGGTTCGTGCTCCAATGGATGTCCATTTGGTCCCACCGGCCTTTCATAAATTCTTGTCAAGGCCGTGTTCATGGGATCCGGTTCGAACACATTTGCAGCATCATAATCATACTCATCCTCCACAATCATGTTGTGGAGGATGATGCAAGTTATCATAATGCTCCGCAGCACCTCCTCATCAAACATCCGAGCAGCACCCCTAATAATACCCCAATGAGCTTGCATGATACCGAAACACCTTTCCACGTCTTTCCTGTAACCTTCTTGAAAGGTAGCAAAGCTTTTTTCCTTCTCGGTTTGGGGATTCGGAATTGTTTTCACGAATGTCGTCCACCTAGGATAAATTCCGTCGGCAAGATAGTACGCACCATAGTATATGGTATTGTTGATTTGGTACGTGATCTGGGGGGAATGACCTCGCAATACATCATTGAATACCGGGGATTGACCAAGCACATTGAGGTCATTCTGAGATCCGACAACTCCGAAGAATGCATGCCAAACCCAAGTGTCGAATGAAGCTACGGCCTCTAGAATTATACTTTTTTGGCCCTTTCGATTCCCATAGTCTCCTTGCTAGGCAGTTGGGCAATTCTTCCACTACCAGTGCATGCAATCGATGCTTCCAATCATTCCTGGGAAACCTCGAGTCTCAGCTTTTTGTAGAAGCCTTTGGAGGTCCCTAGGCATAGGTTTGCGAAGGTACTCCCTCGTGTAGAGATTTTCTACTGCATCACAAAATCTCACCAAGCACTCTAGGATAGTTGATTTTCCCATCCTTGCAATCTCATCCACCTGCTCTACAGATGCCCCAGAAGTAAGCATCCGCAAAATAGCTGTAAGTTTTTGCTCCGGGAGAAGACCCACAACTCTAAGAGCATCATACTTTTGAATGAAGTATGTGTCGTAATTACAAATATCATGCATGATTTTTTGGAACAAATGTGGCTGCATTCTATATCTCTCTCGAAACTTAGAAACAGGATATAACGAATTTTGGATAAAGTAATCTTCCAAGAGATTCTTACCCCGAGATTGCCTACGTCTGTCCACATTCGGGGCACGATGACAGTGATGTTGCCTTGATTCATTAAGCATACACGCCACTACAACCATTTCTTCCTCCTCTTCATCAGCCTCATGATCTTCTTCAGCACGTCTGCGCCTGATTACTTCCTCTTCTCGCTCTTGCCTCTCCAACACCCTCCTCAGGTTAGACATTGAGAGTAGAAAGTGTTTTGTAAAATCTGAGAAATGAAAGAACATAGAAGATATGGTGTGAGAGGTATGAGTTGAGGGTGTAGTTTTATAGAGGGATTTAGAAGATAGAGATGACACGTGGCGCAATTTTAGAGGGTGAAAATCTTATCTGACATGGGACACGTGGTGCAATTTTAGAGGGTGAAAATCTTATCTGAAATCTGAGATTATATTTGTAAAAGAAATATCTCAAAATCTTATCTGACATGGGACACGTGGCGTAATTTTAGAGGGTAAAAATTTTATCTGAAATATGAGATTATAATTTTTTTTAATAAATATTCGAAAATTTTATCTGAAATAAGACACGTGGCAACCGAGAATCTCATCCGAAAATCTTATCTGAAAAATTATGGACATGTGGCAACCAAAATTAATGGTTTAAAGTATAAAAAAAAATAGGAAATCAAGTACAATGAATAGTATTTACCCTTGCCTTGCCTTAGCCTTTTGGGGTGGACTTGCTCTAACTAGATAAAAGTTCCGTTGATATATAAACAATGGTTTTTTTTTCTGAAAAAGTCAGTGCTATTGGGCTAATTTGACTTTAGACCTCAATATCTGAGTATTTATTTTCTTCTTTTCAACATCCCAAGTGGGTTTGAAAAAAATGAAGATAACCAATAGCCACTTGATTAAAATTGGTGAGTTTCGAGCAAATTTGATATAAAGTGTACGTGTAGAAAGAAAATTATTGTATTTAAAAAAAAATAGTTATTTACACTAACACTCCCTCAGGTTTTTAATGTTTTCACTAAGCCCCTTCATGTCCCTAAAATTACACGAACACCTCCTGAGGTTTTAGTGTGTTTTCACAAAACCCCATTCTGTTGTTTGTTCGTCCAAAAATTGATAATTTCATTTATAAAAAAAAAACTTATACAAATACAAAATTAACCTAAATTAATGTATATGTAATCTAATCTCAAAGACCAACTTTATCATTTGGAGAACTTTTTTGTATAAAATCATTAATCTTTGGACAAAAAATCAATGAAAATAGGTTTTGTAAAAACAAATTAAAATGTGAGGAAGTGTTCATTCAAAAACCTCATGGGATTTTGTGAAAAAATAAAAAACCTCAAAGGATGTTAGTGTAAATAATTCTAAAGAAAATAAGAGTTATTATAGTAGCAATCATTGACAAAAACAATTAATTATACTAGCAATCGCTCACACCCGATGCTTGGGTAAGAAAAGGAACTGAGTTCATTGCACTTGGAGAGGGCATTTTTGTGAGAAATAAATTACATTTTCTTAACTAAGAGCATCCGCAATGATGCTCTCTATTTCTTAGCTAAAATTTAGCTAAAAATATAAGAAAGCTATTTTAGGAGCTCTCTAAAAAATTTCAACTCCAACCATACTCCCTAATTTGGAGAGTCATAAATGCTATAACTCTTTTTTGATTGGTCCATCTCTATTAAAAAATAAAATAAAAAACAGTTAGCATTAAATAAAGGTTTGAAATACTCATTAAATAAGACAGCATTAAATTATAGGGAGCCACTAGGAGTCCTTTCTCTCTCCTCAGATTTAGGAGCTCCTAGAGGACTCCCTATTTTAGGAGGTGGATAGGGAGCATGGTTGGAGTTGTATTTTTACAATGCCTCCCTAAAATGTATCTAAGGAGGTGGTTTAGGGAGCCCATTGCGGATGCTCTAATAAAATCATCTATGTCAAACAAAAATTATTTTATAGCTCTAGAGTGAAATCCATCCTTCCTTCCATTACTTCGATAACATAGTAGCTTATCTCAATAAATAGAAGAGATTAATATCTTAAAATTATAAATAAACTAATAATATATATTTTTACAACATATACTATTAAACCATAAATACAGGTAAACAATGGAAGTTTCACCTAAAAAGATATTGGCCATTTAACAAAGGACTTGAAAAAATGTAAATGGTACATAAGGGGTGGGCAAAAAATTATATGAATAAGTATGTTTCACACGGAACGAAACGAAAGTATAATCATTTTGGTTAGTCCTATTTAGAAACCATCTACATTAATTTTAGGCTTAATTACACTAATCTCTTCTGAAACTTGGGTCAAATCTCATTTTGCCCCCTTCCCTTAATTGAGGTTTGGTGACCCACTTTGCTCCCTACCATCAACTCCATCCAAAAGTCTGTTAATTTTAATGGCATGACAAGTAGAGCCCACCTTCATATAAAAATATAATTCAATATTCTAATGATTAAAAATTAAAATAAAAACATTAAAAAACCAAAAATATTTAAAAATTGAAAACACAGTCCACCACACCCCACTCTCCTCGACGATCACCTCTCCAGCCCATTCAATCACCACCATCACCTCATCCAACCTTTACCTTTATTACCTCCTCCTCTAATTTAATCTCACTCTCTCTAGCTTTATTCTCACTGTTTGTACCATATTTGAAAAATGGACCAAATTTGGTTTATTTTTCAAATGAAGTTACATAAGGTCCAGGCCTAGATTCTTTCTTTCGAAATTAACAAAAATAGGGCTTTTTCGTATTTGGGCTTTAAATTGGTGAAATCTCCTTAGAAGCCCATACCTCAAAAAGCCTCAGCTTTACATTAAAGTTAGGAAAGTAAGTAACTGTTACTAGTTGACCCACATGACTTTCTTAAGACGGGTTTTTGCCATTAAGAATAACTTGACTGTGGTCTCTCTCTCAAAAATAAAGTAGGCTGGCTAATAGATGCCAAAACCAAGAGGAACCGTCTTCCCAATGGTTTTCTAGCTGCGAAAGGATGACAAATCAAAGGAATATCCCTTGAAACCAGTGTTTTCATCCGAGATATCCTTTCTCCTACTTATGGATCGACTCATGAGGACAATTTGGTAGCTAACTTTGGACAACACTCAAGTGTTATCTTCCAGCCTTCACCGTCATCGTTAAAGATTCTCTGCCTATAAAGATAGTGGCTCAACATCAGCACTCGAGGACTCTCTTTCCAAAAATCAGATGCAACTTCTTGTAAAGACTTGAACAACCTTCAAGATTTTTCAAATAGCCAACTTGTTGCCCAGAGAACCAGTTGACAACTCTTGCGATTATCTTTTATTGCTATATCATCTTCATCTTATAATTTTTGTTTAAGTAGTTAGTTTAGTTTCCTTCTAAATAACTGAAACTGTACTGATTGGATAATAGAAATCTCCAATCTTTTCAATATTGTAATTTCTTCTCTAAAAAATAGCTAAATGGAGAAATATTTGGCTTTCGTTTTAACTTATTCTCATGTTGGAGATGGATAGAGAAATATTTAGCTTCTTGAACTTTATTATCTGTGTAATTTACCTTAATCATACTTTACATTCCGGCCATTTATCTTCTTTTGTATCTTACTTTTTAATAATAAACTTTCCTGCATTTTTATATTTGAATATTTTGTTATAAGGGGAATGCTAGCAACCTTCTATCTAACCTTCTCTTTTAGACCTTCTCTCTTTTGATAATGACATGTGTCACTTTTCTTACAATTAAAAGAATGTCATTAATAAATGAGACCAACTAGTTTTTATTTTCCAAGTTTATTCTTTTATTTACTTATGTGGCATAAAATTATAATAAAATATTTGAAAATTCAATTTAGAAAATAAGAAATAGGATTACAGTAATCAAAAACTAAAATTAAAAAACCCTTATCCCCATCCCGACTCCTTCCAGCCGCCACCCACCAACACAAACACAAAGCTCATCCTCCTCCACCTCCCTACGGTCCACCCCTCATCAATCCACAAACCCAACACAAATGGAGGAAGCCCACACCGGCTATGGCTGCTCTTCTTCATCGCCTTCTTCACACTCCCATTAACTCTCTCTCATCACCACCATCCCCCAAACTATACCCAACTCCTCTTTTACCCCCTCTGTTGTGAATCTCAAAGCTAAAACTCATGAGAAGCTGACCTTGGAGAAAATCGAAGTATTGCCGCTCACACTATGGTTATTCTTATGAGAAAGTAAGAAGGGGCCTCTAATGGTAGTTCTGAAATTGTGGTTGGGTTGGGGTTATTTGGTGGAGGCTAGAAGAAGTCGGGATGGGTTTAGGGTATTTTATTTTTAGTTTTTGAATACTGTAATCCTATTTCTTATTTTTTAAATTGAATTTCAAACATTTTATTAATATTTTATGTCTCATAAAGAAAAATAAAGAATAAACTTGAAAAATAAAAGCTAGTTGGTCTCATTCATTAATGACATTGTTTTATGTGTAAGAAAGTGACACATGTCATTAGCAAAAAGGAGAAGGTCCAAAAGAGAAGGTTAGAGAGAAGGTTAGAGAGAAGGTTGCTAGCATTCCCCTTGTTATAATTGTTTATTACTAGACAGGCCCAGAACAAGGGTTCTAGGCCCGAATAGGGCTTTATTAGCTTGACAACAAGGGTTTGTCTAGGCCTGAATCATACCATTGGACCCGAATTAACTAAACCCTAACCCAATTCGGGTTACTTGGGGTCCGAATTAGGTTTCTGAGCCCAATCAAGGGAGCATTGACCTCAACTTTGGTTTTTTTACTATTCACATTTGCCAAGCCATAGACGTACGATTGAAAGAATATTGAAGTCCTCTTGATTGACGCATAGAAAAGAACTCATCCGAGCCGTTACCCCTCTTGGAGAACAATGACTGGATTAGAGGTCTAGAACAAGCGCAAGTCCGTCAAACAAAACACTCTACATCACATATACCAGGTCTATTAGGTTGGTAACATCCCCAATAGTGGCACACATACGCAACCTGCGATCGGGCCAGAAAAAGCAAGCCATCAGGGGCTAGCCCGTGCTCTCCTGCTTTTCTCAACTTGATCCAACTTTCCATTTTGTTAGACATTGAACTAATCCTTTTGCGAGCCAGAGATCCAATCGGGGCATTGGTATTGACCCCACCTCTTCCTCTCTTCTGCTCATTTCCTAAAATGAATCGACTCGGAAAATGAAGGAAAAAAGGACCAACACTCATAATCTCAAAGAACCCACCAACATATCGACAACGAGCTCAGCTCTCTTTGCCTTTTCTCTATATGTCATTCTCAACGGCAGTGAAAAAAACTAAATCCCCCAACCCATCTCAATCAACCATTAGCAAGCCTTCACAATGTGGAGAATGAGATTGAGATCCTTTTCAGAGTTCACTACATAGGATTATGAATCTAAACGGATTTTGTGCGAATTTGGTAATCGACGACCCACGGTGAGAAGAGAGAGAGAGAGAGAGAGAATTGAAATTGAAAAACCAGCACTATTTTCAAATTTGGGTAGGCTACTGTGGCTGGGTTCAATGTTTTGTGTGTGGAAGAGATGGGAGAGAGAAGAAGAGAGGGGTAGAGGGAAATAAGTGGGTTGGGTTGGAAGGAGGGAGGGGTAGTTGTGGACAAAGACCAAAAGAATGGGGTTCTGTGGGTGATGGTCAGAAGAAATCGGGTTGCACGCAGTGGCGGATCCAGAATTCTCAGGGCAAGGAGTCTTAGTGTAAAAGTGTCGAATTTTTCTTACAAGAAAAATAACACTACAAAAATAAAAAAGACATCGGCGACTCAAGACGGTGGTGGTCGGTGCTGGTGGAGAGGTAGTGGTGGAGGTTGGGAAGTTGGGCTCCTAGTGTTGTGAGATATTAATTTGGGAATGAAAGTGTTTGGGGATGCGTTGTGGAGTCGGATACATGAGAGGAGAGGAGGATGATCTTTTTTTTAATTTAAATAATGCCTCGCTCAAAATAACGTAGTTTTTAGGCTATGTCAACGAAAAAAAAAGGAATGAGCCATATACCAAACGACGTTGTTTGGCCAGGTAGTGCTAGGCATCAAAATCGGAAAATTGATACCGAACCTAAATCGTGTCAATCTCGTACTATGTTGTTCGGCGATGCATAATAAATAGTATGATACAATATAATACTGTTTTTATTTGACACCACATCAATTCTATATTTCTCATTCGGTTTGATGTTATATAGTATTAATTTTCTTTATTTTTTTATTATTGTTTTTTGGAACAATGCCTGCTTTATTACACGTATAAGGCAAGGTAGGATTCCTGTCCAAATATAAACTTGCAATAGAACTGAGATAGTCATAACGTTAATAGATATTTATAAAAATACCAAATCCTAGACATGTATTTATAAAAATACCCAAGCACTATTTAAACATAGAAACATACCCAAAATCAACCCCACAATCAACAATTGTATATTTTTTGGGTGTGTTTATAAATGGGTTTTGAGTGTGTGTAATGATGGGTTTTGGGTATGGTTATAAAGTGTTTTGGGTGTTGGGTATTTTTATAATTTCAGCCCCCATTTTGGGTATTTTAGTGAAACTCCCTAAAGTTAAAAGTTAACTGCCCAGCAAATATTAGTTATCATTAAGTTATATAAAGTTTCTTTATCTTTCCTTTTGTTTAATATTTCTCCTTTTTTTTATTCTCTCTCTCTTTCTTTCTTTATTATTTTCCTTCTTCTTTCTTTTTTGGTCCATTTTTATTTTCCTTCTTCTACATCTTTTCCTCCCTCTCCGGTTCTTTCTTCCTAGCCTCACCCAGCACTCCATCGCCATCTATTTTCACTCTTTTTTCTTTTCTTTTTTTCCATTTCTTTCTTCTTCTTCTCTCATTTTTTTCTTCTCTTCTCTCCCTCCCCACCACTTTCTTCCTCTCCAAGAGGTTGCACCAGCAGCTCCAAGCGACCTCTAAGCCTATTTCCATGGCTTCCAAGAGGTTGTGCGACCCCACTGACCCCACTGTGGCTCCGCCACTGGTTGCACGTGGGGGAGGAGGGGGGAAGGGTCTATGGGGTTGGGTTTTGGGTTCTGTGATGGGGGTGGGAGGAAGGGAGATGGGTTTGTTTGATTTTTTATTTTTTATTTTTGTTACTTTTTGAATTTTATTTTGTTTAAATGTAGTTTTTTATATTTTTATATTTTATTTTTAATTATTAGAATATTTAATTATATTTTTATCTATGTGGAAGTGGACTCCACTTGCCATGTCATCAAAGTTAGCAGACTTTTAAATGGAGTTGACGGCATGGGTTAAAGTGAGTCACTAAATCTCAGTAAAGGAATGAATGAAAGTGGGCCATTTTGAATTTAGAGTGGCAAAATGAAATTTGACCAAAATTTGAAGAGGGCATTGGTGTAATTAAGCTTAATTTTATTATATTTTTTTTTATTGCTTATCATCATTTGTTATTATATTTATCCCCTCTATTGATATGAATATTTTAATACTAAAAACTAAAATCCCTAAGCATTTGTAATCTCTCTCTCTCTCTCTCTCTCTCTCTCTCAAAGTTTCTCGATCTGCAAAGCTAAAAAGGTGAAGTTATTCTCAAAAGGTTAAGTTTATTTTTGATATAGGGAAAATGATATAGAACATTTATTTATCTATATATATAAAGCAAAAGGCAGAGAATGGTGAAACATTCAAAATACCAGAAAATGCCCTTAGTTAACGCAAATATTAAGAATTGAAATTATTAATTAAATGAGGATAATATAGTAAATTCACATTTTTTTAATATTAAAAAAATAAAAAAATAAAACAAAATCAGATAATAGATCCTACTTTTATGGAACATAACTACCCATGTTATCTTTTATTAATTCTAAAAATAAAATTAAAAATTAAAAAAAAAACCAATTGGCACATGCGTGCATGTGCTAAGGGGCTAGTTGCTTATAAAGGTTAATTATCAAACCAAACCAAATAGTAATAGATAGATTTGGTTCAATTTTGTTACTAATTTGAGGTCTATATCGTGGATCTGGATCCTCTACTATGATTTTTTCTACTTGATTTTTGTTGTTCACATGTCACCTCATTAAAATTTAATCTAATAGACTTAAATTGGACATGTCATTCTTAAAATAAAAATTCAATTTACTCCTAACTAAAACAAAAGAAAAAAAAAAAACAAGAAAATGGTATATGGCGTTTAGGCAGGCAGGAAAGGGTACAGAGTTTTATGTGGGCTACGAGAAGACACTTGGAACGTTCAAAGAGCCGAAAAGCTTTTCCCCACCAAAAAATGAAACGTTATCCAATCAATCATTCATACCTCATACCTGGTTCGAAAAACCCAATCCAAATTGCAAAACCAACAATCCGAATCTCGCTTTTACGGTCACCAAATCACTGAGTTTGGTCTCCATTGTCGTCCAAAACAAAGAAATGACACTATACAGTGCTACTCTGACACTGGGCTCAGTCTCGCAGCTCTTCATTACCGGCGATGCCGTTGCCTCCTCTAAGAACCATAATTCTTGTTCAGTATCTTGTCTCTTCAATGACATCAACTTCTCAAAGCTCTCTCACAAGTCTTCTTGCAAGAAACGATCGTCGCTTTTTGCTGCCAGCAGAGTGTCCAATACTGAAAATTCCGGCCTTCTGCATGACACGTCTACCCCTACAGACGAGGACCTTCAAGAGGCTCGGGTGTGTTCTGTTTTCCCTTTCTTATATTTTGGTTTTACTGGTAGTATCTGTTTTGGATTTGTATTCGGTATCGCTTCTTTTTTTGCTGCACCTTTGGCCATGTTTTCATTTTGGGTTTTTGATTTTCCATAGCATGAATATATGTATTGGCTTTGAATTTGCAGAATCCCATTTGCCTCTTGGAAAGAAACCTATAAGAAATTATTTTTCTTTAAGAATCTGTTGCACCCATTTCTTGCTGATTTTATTAGAATATTTAATCATTTTAGTACAAGTAATGACATAAAAAATAATTCATTAATTTGAAAAAGAGACATATGATAATAAGGATGCTTGGAAGGAATAAGAGGTAAATCTGATGTTTTGTTTGACATCCTTACATTGGACCGAAAGTTGTAACTAGAGCATCCTTGTTTCGTTGGATGTTAGCAAACCCTTATCTTTTGGCTTTAAAATGGGAGCATCCAACGCATAATGAACTTAAGTACTTTAATAGGAAACGTACTGTATTCTAACCATTGGATGAACATAATGACAAAGGTTCGAAGTACAAGTATTATGTTTCGTATTACCTTTTAGGTTTTCATCTGATGACGTAGAGCATGATCTTTTCTTTTTTCATATTGGAGTACTTAACACTATTGCACCTAAATACTATCCTTTTCTTAAAAAAGGTTACTTAGTTTTAGCTTTAGAACTAATGCAGTTTCTAATTATTAAGGATATATCCTAATACATGAAGACCTTATTGTTGTTTGTTAAGTTTATTGGTTATCGAACATGTAAATTGAAAAAAGAAGATGATTCTATCATTTACTCTTCAAGCTTAATTACTAGTTATTTGAAAATGTACAATATAAATGATTATGTTTTATGTGTTAATATAATTGAAGACATTGCAAGTACCATAGACTTGATCTAGTAAGTGGTAATGCTTGCATGAATGCATAGTGGTGACTATTCTCTTCCACTTTTATTCGCTATCCTATCATACTTTTCTTAGTGAAGTAGGCGAACTATAGAACTTTGGGATGCAGTTATAATTGTTTAGAATCAAACAGAACATATTGAATTTGTGTGATAATAAGAGTCAGCTGATATGGTAGTTGATACTTTTGGATACACATAGGCATGCATTGGGTCAAATTTGAGGTATTTTCATAAAATTCTTCCCTATCATCTTGTAACTGACCTATAGTTCTAATAATCTACTACCCCTTTTGGCTCTTTGGAAGGTATTAGTGGTTGGTTTCCTACATGTTGGAAACATTGTACATGCTTTTACTAGAAGTTTTTGCTTTGTTCATATTTAAGATAGAAGAGAACGATAAAGAAAGAAATCTATCTCCCAAATATATACCAGTTCAAAAGTATATGTGCTTTTCTGGAAGAATTATGTAAAATTTAGAAGGAACACTTTCCAGATAGTTTGCATGGTTCTCGAGCAGAATGGTACTCCATCTCTGTAGGGTTGGGTGAGTAAATTAAGTAGTACAGGGGAAGGCAGAAAGACACATTGCACTGCATTGTGAATTTTGATACTAAAAACCTGGAACTAGTTTTACTCAGTATTTTTAGTGCCAAAGTGTTAAAGTTGCAGTATCTGGCCTAAAACCAAGGGGTCACTGGGATAGAGACCCAAGATTTTAGAACTTCCAATGTGACATGTCGCCTCACGTGTGGCCACTGGGCAGATTGTGTCTATCACATTAAGGGTATTTTGCTATGAGACCATGTTAAAGATTATCCAACTCAAATTGACAATGAGTTGTGACACCTAAGATTTTACAAATAGGGATATAGGGCTTAGAATACACAATGTGGGACTTTATATTCTCAACACTAGGCATCATAGAACAACATGAAGCATTGATTCCTTAGATATTGTTGCACCATTGTTATTGTAAGTATGGCCAGTATATAAATTTGTTTGAATTACCAGAATTCTTAATGCTGAGTGGAAGTTTTCATACTAGAACTAAGCACAGAAGAAACTTCTGAAGCTAGCACATGATATAGAAAAAGTTTTCAACAGTTAGTTTGATTTCTCTTGTTATGTCTGTTTTTGGAGTTAAATTCTCCATACACTTTATGAGCTAATACTTAATTATTGCAAAGAAGTAGATATCTGCTGATTGGAAGGTAGCAAAGGCTTATAGTGATAGTGGATTAATCTTTGAGGGGATGATTGAAGGATATAATGGTGGAGGTTTGCTGGTTCGGTTTCATTCTCTAGTGGGTTTTCTTCCATTTCCACAGTTGAGCCCATCACATTTTTGCAAAGGTATTGATTTCCTTACTTTAGTTGCTCTTCATGTTCTGTTCTTGTTTTGAGACACTTCTTAATTAATTAATTTTTCTCGATATCTGTTTTTGATAATATATCCATCAAGACGCATGGTTTGAAATGTGGATGGATTTGAGAATACTTTTTGCTTTCACTTTAGAGCAAGTTTGGCCATAGAAATTGTTAAGACGAGTAATGTCTCTCACTCAATGTAGTTGTTCTATGTGTCATAACATAGGAAGTCAACCTTTGTATATGTGTCCTTGACAGTGCCTTTCGTACTTTCAGTCGCTATTATTAGGGGTAACATTCCTGCATCACTCATACTAAGTATGCTGATATCCATACATCTCTGTCCATCGAAATGAGTTTTGTGTTGCCGACTTTGTTTACTAAGAAGTGTACTTGCAATTTATATCCTGTTATATTTATGATTCCATTTCATGCAGAACGGGGAAAAAGCCTCCAAGACATTGCAAAAGGTTTACCTGGTTCACTTATATCTGTGAAGGTAATGAATTTAATTACAGAAATTTATTTATCATTAATTTGTTAAATAATCCCTTCACTCCAAATTGTTGGCTGCTTTTAGAAAAACCAACTTTTTAAAAGGGGGTCATTTGTTGTATTGTCTATTCTGTTTGATTTATTTCCTTTTCTTCCTCTAACTGATATTCTGTGTTTGAGGTTTTATTTATTTCCTTTTCACAAATAATCCCCTCAAAACTCCCTTCCATAGTAAAAAACACTTGAAGCATCATTTTGAAGAAAGCCAAAAAAAAAAAAAAAAAACCATGGACCTAACTGTTATTACACTTGACTATTATTGCACCCGGTATTAGTAGTTTATAGATGAGGGGTTCTTTTTTTTGGATTCTTGAAGTGTTTCTCTCTAAATTGTCAAGGAGGCTACACTAATTAATTAATTTTTACAGTGGTTCAGTCACAACCATGCTGACAGTGGAGAGAAGGACAGGTGTGAGATCCATAGATTTAAGGTTTTTGACATTGCAAATTTGGTTGCAACGTCCTTCGAAAATGGAAAAGATAAGAAAAGTGACAAGAAACAAGAAATATAATTTCCATGAAAATAGGCCCTTGAATTGCTTAATTGAAGATTTGAATGAAATAGAAAACTGGGTGAATGAGAGTGGTGACTAGGTTGAGGCACATATCATTTTACTTTACAACTAACATGCTAATTGGGCCATTATTGCTTTGATAGGTAAACCGAAAATGTTTGTCCAAAAATCATGTCATTTGGGTCAATCTATTTGTGACCTTATCGGCCAGGCCAAACAGAACGTGCCAACTTCATGTTTGGCTTACTCATTAAAAACTCTGCAGCATGTAATACCCCTAGGACCATCTGCTTGCAATATTGACCTTCTAGGTACTGTATAATATTTTGAAAGGAATTTGTATGCTGCACATAAACATTTTTTCTAAGTGCATAAAACATGGTGAAGAGATTAATGAAAAATATTAGAAGGCGGACTAGATAAAAGCCGTCGAGAGTCTTAGAAGAGGGAGATGAAACTGATACTATATGGATGCAAAACTGATGTTAGCATTGTTACTTACTGGCGTCAGCAGGTTCCACTTTTTTATGGTTAGAGAAATATTTGACATCTGTGTCGGATCTAGATACTCTAACACCAAGTTGAACACTGGGTTTTGTAGTTGGTTTTTTCCCTTTTTGAAAGACCAGAGGAGGAGGATATGAGATTTCATTTTTAAGTTTCATTCTATTTCATTGGCTGTAGATACAACTATATCGTTGTTACAAGTATTTGAGAGTGCATCTCAATATACAGATTTTCTATTTTCCTGGCTGGAATGCACTAAAGAGTTGTTTTTAATGTACAAATCATCTCAGTCTCTTGATATTTTAGGTAATCCAAGTAGACGAAGAGCACAAGAAACTGATATTCTCGGAAAAGGAAGCTGTCTGGTCGAAGTTTTCTGAGCAAATTAATGTTGGGGATATTTTTGAAGCTAGGGTGGGGTCATTGGAGGATTATGGTGCTTTTGTTCACCTACGATTTCCTGATGGTATTTTTCTTTCAGTTTTATAACCCACTCCACACTTTATTTTAAATAGGGAAGAAAAAAAAATGGAAATCCTAATTGGCATCAAACTCTGAAACAGGTCTTTATCATCTGACTGGACTAGTACATGTCTCAGAGGTTTCATGGGATTTAGTTCAGGATGTACGAGACATTTTAAATGAGGGTGATGATGTAAGGGTCAAAATTATTAATATCGATAGGTGAGTTCTATTGTATGATTGTACTTTTAGTTATTACTACACAAACACATGAAAAATTACCTTAAATAAAGCCATGTTTCTGAACTGTTGATCTGATATGGACAGTTGAGAATTAAGATGAATGTGATGAGTTTTCATATTAAAAATCCATGCAGAGTAAAGTCAAGAATTACACTTTCCATTAAGCAGTTGGAGGAAGATCCACTTCTAGAAACATTGGACAAAGTAATACCACAGGTTCGTAACATGCTAAACTCTCTGATATATCACTTGTAGTTATGTTCATAGTTCTCAACTGGTAATTTGAATTGCTTACTTATTTATTTGATGATTTTGACCATTCACAGGATGGCTCTGTAGGTCCTGATTCTTTGAGCACTGACAATAGCAGCAATATCGAACCTCTTCCAGGCCTTGAAGCGATATTTGAAGAGCTAGTACGGGAAGATGGGTAGGTTTTCACATTTCTTGGTTAATGAAGAACTATGTCTGAAAAGTTTAATGACTTCAACTGAAAAACTAAAATCTGTATGAATATTTAGAATTTGGAAAATTTCCAAGATGGTCAAGTTTGGAGTGTGGGCCAATATGCTATAATAGTTGCTGCATGATATTTTATTTATTCTAGGAGACATTTAATCTGGTAGTTATATCTTTTAAACCTGGTTGCAATATCTAGACTTGTGTATATTGGGTTGTTTGTTATAGTATGTAAAATATATTTATACAGCTAGAGCAGATGTCTTCTATTTAATGACACAAAAGAAACTTACTGCCTAGGAATTAGCTGAGATGACTTGGTAATAACATTTGTTTCCTGATGCTACCTTTCAATTCAAAATGAAGGAATTATTGTTTTATTTTTAAGTGGAAAATGTACCAGTAAAACTGTAAAATTCGTGTCAAGAAAACATTTATATCTCATCAGCAACTGCTGAAAATTAAAAACTTGAATTGGTTAAAACTCTTAAATATTTGTATTACTAACTGGTACTCTGCTGTTGCTCGCAGATAGATTAATGTTGTGTGCATGTTAACAATAATTAAGAAGTGTCAATAAAGAAATAAATGATTAAATACCAATCTCCATTCAAGATTCATGCATGCAATTCGGGTCAAAATCAACTCCTTTGGTGACAGCACTTGCGGTTATGGATGGAATTGAGGCCACAAGAATGACTATTTTGGCAACAAAGTAGTCCAGGCCCCTTTTGCTTCACATTAGATAAAAGTTAAATCATGAATCACATAATTGTCAAATATATTATTCAAAATTCGCCCTTTTAAACATGAAAATCTCTCTAGCATTTTTGTGTGACCATGTATGTTTTCATAGACTGATTGGTAAGCTATTGCAGTTCAGACTATTAATCAGTTGGGAAGAGTGTTAGTTTTCACTTGATATACATTGTTGGCCCAACAACTTCCTGTGTGTTTCTCTGTCTCCATTTCTTCGGATCTCAACATGTAGGATGGGGATGCACATGAGGGAGAGTGTAGCATGATATACATTATTTGCCCATTTCATAACTTATATTGTGATCCGTTCGTTGTATAACTAATTGTAATATACATAATATTATTAGTTATAACAACAGTATTCCTAACATGGTCAATATTTACTTCCAGAATGGAAGAAGCATATCTAAATGAGGAAGGCCATGTGAGAGGTTACTAGGATTGTAAACAATGTACAATGTCCATGGGAGTCTGAATGGTTTTCTGCAGTCTCAGCTTATTCTTATCATTGGTTAATATTTTTTTAGGAGTGTATAAATGTGATCTCTGGCTTCAAAGTCATAGGAAGTCTTTGGTTTTTAAGAAAACTGATGTCTGATGCTTGCTGCTTTGTATGATATCATGTTCCAGCATAGATGATGTAAGAATCAATCGCCAGGGGTTTGAGAAAAGAGTGGTTTCACAGGACCTGCAGCTTTGGCTTTCAAATGTGAGTGATTTTTTCTTTAATTTGGTCAAAGGCTTTCAGATGTGAGTTCCTGAAAGTACAGTGAATCAATCTAAGTGTAACTCCATTTTCTTAGTTTAAAATCTTCATATTTCTTTTCTTTTTAAACAGTCACCAGCTGTTAACCAGAAGTTTACTCTTCTTGCGCGAGCAGGAAGGCAGGTGCGTTCTCCTCTCTCTCTCTCTCTCTCTCTCTCAACACATGTAGAACATATACAAATGCTCATGCATATGTACAAACGTAGCTTATACGATCTGTGATTCAGGTGCAGGAAATACAACTGACAACAACACTTGATCAGGAAGGTATCAAAAAAGCACTACAGCGAGTATTGGAGCGTGTGCCATAGATGAATCATGTTACATTCCACAGTTACATTAAACGAGTTTTTCTGTATAGACATTATTTTTGTCAAATTCCGATATCAGCTGTATAAAAAAAAAAAATATTAAAAAAGGTTAATAGGTCAACTAGATAACTTGTTAACACGAATTTTCTTCTAGAAATGAATTGGTTTTCAGTTTTCAGTGCAATTGGAACTGAGTTTGTAGTTTAGGTTACCAAAGCAAATACACTACCAATTTACACTAGTAACAGGAAAAACTCGTGACTAAATAATGTTTATATTTTCTTTTGTTTCTTAATGAGACTAAATGATGGAAGCATCTGTGGAAGCTTAAAGTTCCACCAAAAATGCAACATTCCTCTGGCGTTTAGCCCACAATGCTCTCTTTGCCTGTGAGGTGCTTTTTCGGCCGAAAATAGTCCAAGATACTACTTGCTTTTGTTGTTTGGGTCAGATTGAAATTGTGATTCATGCTCTTCACGATTGCATGGTAAGTTCTTCTGTTCGTGCTTGCTAGGTTGGGCTCTACTTCTTGCTACATTACCCTGTCATGATGCCAGGGCTTACTAGGTTGGGCTCTACTTCTTGCTACATTACCCTCTCATGATGCTGCAATCTGTCTGTTGGCTGTATGGGATACCCTCCCTAGCTCACAACACTCTTTGTTTACCATTACTCTTTGGTTTTTATCGAATGCCCGAAATGCAGCTTTGTTTGGTTCTCCTATCTTGCCCCATGAACAAATAGTTTTTAGTGCAAAGAACTATGATGCTAAGTATCAAAAGGTTTTAGTAATCCATCATAGGCGGTCTTCTTTGCCAATTTCTGATAAAAAGTGGCAATCTCCACCTCCTGGCCATTTTAAACTTAATGTTGATGGTGTGCTTAGCTTGAATTCTAGTTTACGTGGGGTTGGTGTAGTGGTCAGGAATTCTTACGGTCGTCTATGTGGGGCGGTAGCAATGCGTGCTCCTAGCTCGCTGTCAATCCTGGCTATTGAGTTGTATGCTCTCAAAATTAGTATTTCTTTTGAGTTGGATGCTTCTATTACGCCTCTCATTATTGAGTCTGACTCTTCAAATGCCATCCATCTGATCCTCCAGGAAGACCCCTGTTATGCGGCAGAAGGGGCTCTCGAAGAGATTAGATGGCTCCTTGACTTGCTCCCCTCCTACTCGGCCCACTTTGTTCCCATTACAGCTAACGATGTGGCGGATCGTCTTGTGCGCTTCAGTCTTGGTCAAGAGGACTTAACTTTTTGGTTTTCTGACCCACCTCTTTAGTTACAGGATTGTCTAATTGAGGACTCTCCTGATTGTACTGATGTTTGATTCTCTTGTAGTCTTGGCGTGTGTGGTACTCTTTCCTCTTCTGGGGTTTTGTTCCATTGGATTAACGAGACCACTCAATACATGCTTTATCTATGTAATGTTCTGATTATCTAATGAAATCCAACATCTTCTCAGAAAATGAGACTAATAATGATGTGTTTCCTATTATTACATTATAGAAAGAGGAAAAAAGCCTGGAAGGCGAGAGTTTTTCTGCTGGCATGAAGGCCGTCCAAGGAACCGGCAACAGCCAGTAGCTAGTCACAGTTGGTGTAAGCTATTATATAGACCGAAATGAAATGGAACCACAATATAAAAGAATCAAAATAAAAGGAAATGAGAATGGGGATGGATCAAAATGTAGTTAAATGTTTGAGGCAAACCAATTTCGATTCAAAATAATTGATCAAAAGGTCTTTTGTTAATAAAAAAGCCAAATGGACTCCAACATGCCTCAATTTTTTAGTGAGGTAAGTTTATCTTCGTGAATACGTGGAACCAACTTTTTACTAAAATAAGCAAGAAAGGCCCTTTGTATTATTGTTATTTGGCTGGATAGAAATTTGTTAACACTAGCCCTCATCAAGATGGACCATTTTAAGTATGATAGCTCTATTGATGATTCAATTTGTTACTCATGTGCTACCCCTGAAAGTGAACAAATTGAATCATCACTAGAGCTATCATATTTAAATTGATGGTTGTTGACGCCAAAAAGTGGTTCTCTGACTTTGAGGGTCAACTTAGTAATTTTATGTCTTCGGTATGCTTGTGACTTCGGTAGTGTGCGTGATCTGCAATATGAGCAAACGCACGGTAAGACCTAGGGCACCGGTGTGGTACCGGCCGAAGGCTCTCCGATGCTTAAGTAAGTTCGGGAATAGAAAGTTCAACTGACAGACCAATAGGCTTGTATGCCGTAAGTTCTAATTACCTCTATTTTGGGATAGTTGGCCTCCTTTTATAGGCCTTGGGAGATGTGCATTTGTTGATAATTTCGATGTGGGACTGTGGACGTCGCTTGGGAGCGTGCCACGTGTCCAGGAGAGGGCGTTGCCCTAATTGAGAGATCGGTAGGTAGAGTGCCGAGGGCGCCTCTGACCAAGCCCAATTTTCCTCCACGTGTCTTGCTCTCATTGGCTGTTCATTTTGGGTATAAACAGGAGTCCCCCAAGTTCTCGATCGAGATTTCTCGGTCGGGGACTTGTTTGTCCTTCGGTAGCCTCTGGATGACCCTACCGTTCGGTAGCCTGTCAAAGGGGCGTCCTGGGCCTTTGTCCCAGTTCCGATTCGTTCGGTAAACTTGCCTGGGAACTCAAGAACCGCCACTTCGAGGGTTTCCGTTTGGTAGTTCGTGGTATGTTAAGGGGGTTCCGAGAGATGCTTGCCGATGTCTGGTTAACTTGGGCGAGTTTGATCTTTTCTCATGCGACTCACGTACAGTGAAAGGTAATGATGGGACAGAATGACGCTTCGTCTTCTGCACCCAGCGTGCTGTCAGAAGCTCCACTCATCGCGCGACACGTGGCGTGTCTAATCATGCGGAGCGGCGCCATTAATGCGCCGTTTGGTTTTTCGAGGCGTACCGTTGCAACTTTCCTCCTATAAATAGAGGGAGTCTCTGAGGCGAAACTCACTTTGCATTTGTGAGTGAGGCGAGAGCTCTGTCCAGGCGATTTCTGACGAGAGCAAACGGTAACAGAGGCGATTTCCGGCGAGAGCAAATGGCAACACAGGCGATTTCCGGTGACAGCAAACGGTACTAGAAGCGATTTGAGCCCTTTCACCTCCAATACACACAAGGTACCGTTCGGTAACTTTGCCATTTTCATTTCTTCTTTCATTTTGCATACGTCCTTCCATGGTTTGAACTAGACTAGAACTTTATGCAAGTGAGATGGGGTTCGGTAGTCTAGTTGCCATAGGTAGAGACGTAGGCATCGGTAGGATAGTTCCATGCATGGCCCTTAGTTTCCTTCCGTTGCTTTTGTAGATGTCCGATAGCGAGTCAGGATTCGAGAGCGAGCCCAACGCGTTCGAGAACGAGTCTCCAGATAGGAGAAGGGTTACCAACAGTGGGGAGTCGGGATTTGATACCGATAGCGATAGTGGTTCAGAGGTGGAAGTAGTTGGCGAGAGGGTTAGACCTGAGCCCACCCATGGAATCGGCAAGGGGCTAATGACCAGCCAGCCCCTGCCGTTGGCGATTGTTTATAGTGGTGGTCGGCAAGCTGGGTTGGGCCAGCGTCCCGAACCTCAGGTGGTAGACGTTCGGATGGCGGAGGCATCTTCTAGCCACCGTGAGGAGGCTTCCACCTCTGGCCGTGAAGAGTCTCCCGAGCCAGTTACCCTACCGAGGGTAACAATAGTGAACAGCGGGAATCAAAGGGTACCGATGGGGGTACCGAGGGAGCAGCTCTTTGACGTAGATTATCTACCGCCCAATAAGCTGACCTACCGAGAGCTGGCGAAGATTATGGCGGAGTATATGATTCCCGATTCGGTAGGGATGAGGATCCCGAGCCCTACCGAATCCCTGAGCAACCCCCCAGGACGGTGAGGTTGCGTTCTTCACCGACGTCCTTCAGCAGGGCGTCAGGCTACCGTTGCAGCCTCCAGTTCAGCGGATCTTGGCCCAGATTGGATATGCCCCTGGGCAGTTCAATCCGAACTTCTAGGCCGTTCTGATGGGGGTAGTTACGGCGTTGGGGCTTGCCGATGAGGAGGGGCCTTCCTACGAGCAGTTCTCTAACCTGTACAGCATCACCAAATCGAAGAGTACTGATCATGGTGGATGGGTTCAGGCGAACTGTCTCAAGGCTTTCGAAAGGGGTCATTTTCTTACGGCTGTGCCGACCTCCCAGAAGTCTTGGAGGAATCGGCGGGTCCTCCTTTCTGGCGATTGGGAATCGCCCTCGGGAGTTCCCGTTCGCTTCCATATCCCAACCACTTTCCAGATTGCCGGTAGGTTGCTACCATAGCGATCGGTAGGTCAATTTTTCTTTGTTCAAGGAATTAACCTCTTGCCCTTTTTTTTGTAGGCAAATTGAAGCAACCATCGGCAACACAGTCAGAGCTTCGGCAGATTGACAGAGTTAGGCTGAGAGTTCCTACCGGTGACAGGGAATACCCACAATTCCTCTTTACCGAGAACCTCTTCAGAGCCCGTCTTGCGAACCCTGCCGAGAGTAAGTTCACTTTGAGTTTTCTTTTTTCTTTTTTTAATTTTATTTTTATTTTTGAACTTCGGCTAACCAGTATTAGAGGCCAGGAAGAGTGCCGAGGCCAAGAAGATGTCGGAGACCTCGAATCGGCGCCTCCAGGTGCTTGCGAAGGGGAAAAAACAGAAACGGCAGCCCGAAGGATCGGCAGAGAAGGTCGGCCAAGTTGACGTCGAGGAGCAGCCTCCTTCCGAAC